GATGGTGGTGAAAGTCATGGGAGGAGATGAGCTCCCCAGGTGAGGATGTGGGGAATGAGACAGAAGAGGACCTGAGGCTGAGCCTCAAGGAGCCCTGACTTCAAGGGATAGAAAAGGGAGAGTAGCAAGAGATGGGAGTAGCTGGAGAAAGGGCAACTGGAGAAGGAGCAGCTGGAGAGATAGGAGGAAAATCAAGGGTGCAAGTCACAGAACTGGGGAAAGGGATTCATGGAATGGGAGGTTGAAACTGGTATCAAATGCTGTGGCAACATGGAGCAAAAGGCAGGATGAAAAGGACCCATTGGATTTATCAACAAGAAGGTCATTGGTGAACCGGGAGAGAGCTATGTTGGTGGAATGGGTGTGACAGAGCCCAACTGGAGAAGGGAATTAGGGAAGAAAGTGGGTGGAAAGAGTGAAGTCTAAAATAGCTTTGCTTTGAGGTAGAGTATGGAGTTAAGGGAGGAAACTTGAGCATATTCAATTGCTGATAAAAAAGGAATCAAATGGGACAGAATAGAGTCTAGAAACAGACCTTGCCCATATGGTCACTAGATTTATGACAGAAGCACAGAAGCAATTCAATGATAAAAGGAAGATCTCTTCAATAAATGCTGCTGGAACACCCAGATATATGTATGGGGTGGGGGGAAAGAACCTTGATCCTTACCTCACACCACACACACAAATTAGTTCAAGACGGATTATAGACTTAAATATGAAAGTAAAAACCATAGAGAAATTGTAGGAGAATATCTTTATGATTCTGGAGCAGGCAGAAATTTATTAATAAACATGACATAAAGAGTGCTAACCATAACAGAAAAATTTATATGTTGGACTTCTTAAAATTTTTAAACTTCTGTTCATCAAAAATCACCATTAAAGGCAAAATCAATCTATGATGATGCAAAATAGATCAGGGGTTGCTGACTTACTGGGAAAGGGCATGAGGGAACTTTCTGGAATGATGGAAATATTCTGTATCCTGATGGGGTGGGGGCTATGTTAGGGAGTTACATTTTTCCTTTTTGTTTTTCTTAGATGCTTTCTTTTTTTATTTAAATATATTTGACATACAACATTGTGCAAATTTAAGATATACAACATGCTGATTTGATACACTTATATATTATGATTGTCATTGTACTGACAGCTAACACCTCAATCATATCACATAATTATAATTTCTTTTGTGGTTGGAATAATTAAATCTAGTCTGTTAGCAAGTTTGATGATTATAATACAATATTGTTGTCTATATTCACTATATAGTACATTAAACTTCCAAGACCTGTCTACTAGTTGCAAGTTTGTAATGCATGCATTTTTCAAAACAAAGATTAAACTGTATACTTAAGGTCTGTGTATTTAATTGTCTTCAAGTTATATCCTAATATAAAAAGGTAGAAAAGAAGGAAAGTGAAAAGGCAAGCCATAGACCAAGAGAAGATATTCACTATATATATGTGATAAATATACATATATGATATGTATATATATATATATGACAAAGAACTTACATCCAAAATATATAAAGAATTCTCACAAATCAAAAGGAGAAAAAGACCTTATTTCTAAAATGGGCAAAAAACTTGAACAGGCACTTCACAAAAATATCCCAATGATTCATAAACACGTGGGAAGGTGCTCGACATCATTACTTAGCAGGGAAATGCAAATTAAATCCACAAGAAGATGCCCCCCCCCCCGCACATACACACCCAGAATGGCTAAAACATAAAAGACTGACAATTCCAAGCGCTGGCAGAATGTGGAGAAAGTTTCTATTTTCAGTTGCTACTGGAGGAAGCCGTCCTACAGCAGGGAGGGAGGGGGCTCAAGGTTGACAAGGAGTCACTGTGAGTATGTCTCCGCTGCTCTCCTAGGCCTGAGTGTCCTCAGTTTCTCACAAGGCACAACTGGGGAATGGCTGCCTGAAGCCACACAGTCCCCATTTGGCTCACATTCCTCCTGTCCACACCCCTTTCTTTCCATTGCCCCCCGCCATGGGCCCCTGGCACATTCAGCCAGAGCATACTGCCCTGGGCCATCCTTTTCAAAGCCAGCAACACTCCTAGTGTTAGTCCTGGCTCACGGGGCAGACGGTAGAGGCTCAGCCCCCCTCTGACAGCATGGATGGCCTTCTCTCCCGCAGCCTGGGCCTCCTCTCCACTAACCCATCTCCTCTCTGCTGGTTGGTACCCACAAACTCCTCACAGCCTCCTGGCCCACCTCAATCCCTCTGCTATTCACCTGCAGTCTCACCAGCCATTGCTGGCACCCTTCGGTAGCCCACTGCCTTCAGGCTAAAACTTGAGCTGCTGGGCTCGGCATTCAAAGCCTCTATGGTCCACTCCATTTTTCAGCCCGTTAGACCAGATATGAACATAAGGGACCTTTCGGGCATGCTGGGGCAAGCTAAAGAAGGCCCACAGCACTGTCCAGAGGTAAGATAGATCAGGCAAGCCTTGGACACAGTAGGGGGCGGAGCGGAGGTGGCTGCAGGGGATGCCCCATCTGGCCCACACAGTGATGCACATGGCTGGCAGCTGGGGGGAGGGAGGGAGCAGGCCAGGTCAGCCCCTGGTAGACACATCTGACTTCCCTGAGGGAGGCAGGGCCGGCACGAGTAGTCTTAGGCCAGGGAAGTGGGAGTTCAGCATGGACTTTTGTCCTGGTAGGGAAAGTGAGTCAGAAGCTTGGACCTGTGGACCAGGCTGTGCAGTGGGTGAAGGGAAAGGCCAAGCCTGGGCCCCTGGGAGATGTCAGCTGACTTGGTGTGAGAAGGGGGCATCTCAGGGCTAAAGGGCCGAGTTCCCAGCTCTGAGGGCAGGTGCTGGGGGGTGAATATCATTTGTTAAGCAGGTGCTGCAGGCACCAGGTCCTGTGCTGGGCTGTGTATCAGGAGGGGCTTGGCAGGGGTTGGGGATATACCCAGAGGGATTAACAGAGCAACTTTAAGGAAGGGAGTGTGTGCAGAAAGGGATAGGGGTGGAGCAAGGAACCAAGAAGGGGTGCTGAGGCCCAACATAGCAGATGTGGGGAACCATGATCTGCCCGCCCCACGCCTGGAGGGGCACCGGAAGGAGAGGTGTTACCGGAGGGCAGAGAGGGCTGGGACCATGCAGTAGGGCCCCCACCCCAGGAGCCAAGAGCCTAGAGGCGTGGCTGCTAGCAGAGCTATGACCAGGCATGAAGGGAGCCTGGGGATGAGCGCCCCAACTTCTCTTTCCTCCAGCCCCCCTCTCCTGAGTACCTCATATGCATTGTTCGGTCATCATCCTTCAGGGTGGCGATTTTTTGTCCATTTTATGGAGGAGGAAAATGAAGGTCAGCAGTGAGGGGACCTGCCCACAGCCACTGCACAGTTAGTAAGTGGCCAGGGCACAGGCCTGGGACCTTAACCTTAGTGTTCAGGGCAGGCCTCCGAGGCGCTTCTCAGACGGATGACAGAGAAGGCAGCCCGGGGTGGCAGATGGAAGCTGGCTTCGAGAACCCAGAGCTCGCCACCAAGCAAGGTGGCTCCCTTGGGATGGTGCCTTTAGTGCCCTCCTGCCTCTGAGCTGGGGCCCTCGGCTGCATCTGGCCCTCCTCTGGTGGCTCCCCTCGAGGCCTGGCCTGGACACCTGCCCGTCACATGGCCCATGCTGACAGATTGGGTGTCTTCGGTGCACCCACAGCTGCCGCTAAGTGGCTTCCTGGCAGGGACTCAGGGGTCACCCCATTGCTGCTTGACTCAAACAGCACTGGCCTCTTCGGGGTGCCTGCCACGTCTGTCTGCCAAGATTGGGTATGTTTAGCATCAAATCTGAGACGCGGCCCCTGCTTGGTGACTCCTGGGAGAGCTCCAAGGCCCCTCGGGGCAGACGCACAGCCGGCCAGGGGCGGGTGGGGCGGGGGTGCTCTGGGCCCTGGTTTGAGAGAGCTGGCGGGCCTCAGCCCCCGTGTTCCCAGCGTGCCATACATGCAGGGTCGCTCTGTGTCCCGGGCGCCTGTGCTCCGACCTCTCTCGTTGGCTGGTGGTGTCCGGGTCCCAGATCTGGACAAGTCCCCGATCTCAGAATGTTTCTGCTTCTCCTTGCAGTGTGTTCCACCGAGGCCCTTTGGGGACCTGGGACTGGGTGAGCCTGTGTTTCGACCACTGTCCAAGGCTCCGGTCCCAATCACTGAGGCCACCAGTGCCAGGGGAATGGTCACAGGGGTCAGACCAGTATGGTTCCAGGACCAGTGCCACCTCCTAAGCCACGTGATCCTGAGCAAGTCACTGTATACCCTGCCTGGGGCTCAATCTTCTTTGAAAAATGGTGAGAGGAGCTGAGTACATGCTAGCACCTCCTTTGGGACCCCCTAAGAATGTGCGTGTCATCACGAGGCTGGTCTGCTCTTCCCCAGCTGTCCTTGGCGGGCCCCATGCTCCCAGCAGGTATGTCAGAATGAAGGGCAAATACAGACAAGGTAGGGATCAGGAAAGTCTCCTTGGAGTGACACTGGAGCTGGAAGTGAGGCCCAATAGGGACGTCGCGGGTCGAAGGAGGCCGAGGAACAAGCATTCCAGACGGAGAGACCCACGTGCAGAAGAGGGAAGGCGTGTTAGGCGAACAGTGGTGGCTGGTGATGGTCAGAGCAGAAGGTGCATGGAGGGGGGTGGCGGGAAGTCGGCTAGAAAAGTGGGGGTCTGAGGACCAGGGAGTCAGGGGCTGGGTGAGCCTCAGCAGATGGGGCAGCTCACTCTGGAAGTCAGGAGGGAGTGGCTACCCACAGAAGGGACCGGAAGCAGGGTCTCTCCATGTGTGGCCGGGGACCACCTGCCTCGGATCACCTGGGGAGTTCTTAAAATGCAGAGTCCAGGCCTGTGGCTCTACAACTCTAGGTGCATTGCTGACAGAGAAATCTGAGGGAAGAGGGGGACAGCCCCATCTCAGCCTGGTCAGGGCCTGGGGCAGCTCGGGGGCCGTGTGCAGAGGGCATCTGAGGCCTAGGGTGAGCCAGGTGGGCGGGCCGGGTGTCAGGCTCCTGGCTCAGGGTGCACGTGGGCCCTTGGCGTGTTTCCCAGCCGGTAGAGGGCCCGTTTCCCTCCATGTCCCCTCTCCGAGGCAAGGAGAGGCTGGGGCTGAGCCTCAGGGGTCACTGGTCGGGGCTGCAAACTCTGGATCTGTGCAGCGGGAAGCCTGGCCTCAGAGCCCTCGGGCGGGAGCCCTGTCCAGCTGAGACTGGCCCTTTGTCTCCATCTCAGCAGGGGAAGGTGCCCGAGTTGGTGTCCAGCTGGAGCCCAGGCTGATTGGCAGTGCCAGCCTCCCATCTGGTCCTGGAGATGCCCCCCAGAGTTCCAGCGAGAGAGGGCAAGGGACAAGGACCTGGCCCCGGGCTTGGGGGAAGACTGAGGAACAGCTTCTCCACCACTCAGGCGCAGAGGCCCAGAGTGTACCCAGAGACGCGGAGGGGCGGTGTTGGGCCACAGCTTAGACTCAGCTGAGCCAGGGTGGCAAGCCCCATGCCTCTCCCGACGGCTCGGGGGCCTGGTCAGTTTGCACACAGGAGGGAGGTGTTCCCCACCTCGCCAAGCCTCCAGATTTGAAATAATCCCAGCTCAGTGAGGGCTGGGGGCTGAGGAGGCCAGGGAGGAGGGTAGGGCCCAGGGACAGGGCCCGGGGAGGGTCCAGGAGCTCTGAGAGGGGCTTGTGTCCTGAGCCTGTGGATGAGCCGAGGCTTGGCCCGGGCCGAGCTCCCTCGGTGCCTGGCACTGGCTGAGGCTGGGGGTGCCTGGCCTCTTCCAAAGCCCTCCTGGTCGGGTCGCAGGCAGGGCGGGCCGGGGGCCGGGCGTGGCCCCTCATATCTTCCCTGTTACTTCATCCATTTTGCTCCCACTGATCCCTTGTTTATCTCCCTGGGAATGCAGCCGCGGTGGAAATTGGGGCCAAGGGAAAGGCCAGAGCCTAGGACGCCTCCAGAAGAGCCCCAGCCTCACTTGCCTGCCTCCCTCACCTGGGTCCCTGGGCTGAACCGTACAGGAAGGTCTCTGAGAAGCTAGCGTGGGACCCAGAGGCCGGTTCTGGACCGGGCCCAGCCGCGACTGGGCTGTGTGACCCTGCCGAGGACTGACGGTCCCTGGGCCTTGCTTTCTTCATCTTAGTTGGGGGTTATTCTAAATGACCTTTGAGAATGCTTATTGTCATGAACAACAAACCTACCATATCATAAACACCAGCCTCGGCCCAGCGTGTCCCCACTCTCCCCTGAGGCTCACCCATCTCCATGGATCACCATGAGCCCACTTTAGAGAGGAGGCAGGCTCCAGGGGCTCTTCCCAGGTGGAGGTGGGGGTGGAGACTGGGCTAGGAGAAGACCCCCTGGGCAGGGTTGGGGGTAGCTGTATCGGAGGTCAGGGCTGCCATGGGCCGGGATGTGTGTGCCTAGCAGGGCCAGTGCCTGAAAATGTCCTTTAAAAACCGGTCAGTGGGAAATGCCAGGCCCATACCACGCTTTCCTGTTGCAGGGCCCCTGGCTGAGGGTGCAGGGTGGAAACTGGTATCGCCTGGGGGCCTGGGTTAAGTGGGCCCTAATCCCAATCACCAAGCAAAACGGTCTGTCCTGGAAAATCACCCGCTTGGGTAGGAGGCAGGCGCTATGGCTTTAAGCAGGCGGGACTGAGCCCCTGTCCTTAGTCAGCGATGTCCAAGGACAGCCCGACCCTGCCAGGAAGAGACTGCCAGGCCCCTGGTCAGAGGTAGAAACTGAGGCCCAGAGAAGCTGATGGAGTGGCTCAGGGTACACAGCTGTGTACCTGTCTGATCCAGAAGCTTGCCTACTATCTGTCCAGACCTTGGCTGCCTGGAAGACCCTCTTCTGGGGTCCCCACCTGGGCTCGGCAACCCGAGAGGGCATGCATTGGGGCCAGGTACTAAGGCCAGAACCCCAGTGGCCTCTTGTCTTCTTCTCCCCAGTGACTTGGTGTTCCAGTCTGTAAAATGGGGTGGGTGGGTCCAACTCTGGGCCTCTGGGTGTCTGCCCTCCGTCCTGGAACCTTCAAGAGGAATGAGGTCATATTTGTCTGGGGGCTGGAGCGTCTTGGAAGGAGAAAGCTCGGCAAAGACAAGGGCCCATTGTCCCCCCTTCCCCGGTCCCCTGCCAGCTTCCGCCCCAGTCACCAGACAAGGCCAGCCCTGCCTGCAGACCCCAGAGGCCACCATGTGCCAACAGGGGGTGACTCAGTGCCCCCTCCCTTCCCATTAATTGGCATTGCCTGGAATCCCACCATCAACGCTTTGTCGGGGTGCCACAAAAGGGAAGGCAGGAGAGGAAGGGACGGCTCTGGGGTCCCCCCCTGGGGATGTCACACTGGGGGCTTTACACGTGGGCTTGGCTGACGTGTCCCGCAATAATAAGTAATGAAAACAGCAAAACGTGTGTGCTTGCTTTTCAGCGGCCTTGGTTTGAAGCTCTCACAAGCATTAGCTCAATGATTGCTCACAGCCCCCCCCTGAGGGGGGGCATTGATGTCATCACCCCCATTGCACAGATGTGGAACCCTCGCCCTCGGCCACCCAGCTCATAACTGGTAGATGAGGATGGAAGAGGTAGAATTTGGATCGGAGTCTGTGTGGTTCTCGAGAATTCTGCAGAGAGGCTCCGGGATGCTCAGGTTGGGGGCCGGGACGGGGGGATGGAGGAGAGGCAGGTCCAGATCCTGGAACTCACAGTAGATGGGGCGTCCCCATAGAGATGTGGGCACCTCCCCACTGAGCCCATAGACCAGGCCTCGGTCCTTCGGGGGCTGCGGAATGGAGAGTTCTTTGCTGCTCGGGCCCAGGAAGGCTCCCCGGCCTCTGGCACGGCCAAAGCGGGATGAGAGATGCTCAAGCAATTTCAGCACTTGGAGACACCTAATGGGGCCACACATAGGCAGGGCTGCTACTGGGCCGGAGACACCCCTCTTTCTGGCCTCCCTGCCACTCTGAGGCCAACGGAGCTCTGTCAGCAATGAGCCAGGCAGAGACAAATAACAGCTCAAGCTTAATGCGTCCGAAAGTAAACTCTCGATTTCCTCCCCAACGTGCTCTTCCTTGTGTCTTCCCCGTCTCAGGAAATGGTACCATCGTCCGCCCTGTTGCTCAGGCCAGAAAACTGGGAGGCATCCTTGGATCCTCCTGCTTCTCACCACCCACATCGCTCCATTGCCAAGACCTGTCAATTCTACCCCAAAATAAACCCCAAATCTACTTCCCTCTGTTCCCGCTGCCACCACTGGGCTCAAGGCACCACCCACTCTCCCTGGACAACTCTTCCAGCCCCTCTGCCCCTCCAGCCCACTGCCCCGTGGGAACCGCAGGAAGCAGCTCAAAATGTAAATCAGACCCTACGGTTCGCTTGCTAAATTGCACCAATTCCTATCGTGTTTGGAGCCAAACTGATGCCCCTCGATGACTATGAGGTCCCTTGCGACCTGGCCTCACCTCATCACCTCACCTCTGTCTACTCTTCCTGTCCCTCCGGTCTCGGCTCATACCTCGCTTTCTTCGCCAACCCCAAAACTTGGTCTCCCCAAGTCCGTTCCCTCACAGCCCCTTTGTAGGAATTTTCCTGGACTTATAATTGCGTGGTTACGCTCTGGCTTCCCAACCAGCTAAGACCCGTGAGAGCAGAGCCCTGCCTGCCTTGTCCACCGCCATTCCCGTCCCACCCTGGTCAGCACTCAACATCTCAGCTGGATGAGTTAACAACAGGAATAATAGCAGTGGCCCAACTGTTCAAGCACAGTGCTCTCTTGCAGTGAATACAATCACAGCACCACCTGATGAGAACTCGACGCTCAAGGCTTCCCATTTTTCGGCTGTGGAAACGGGTAGGCTCAGAAGTTAGGATCAATCCCCCGGGGATCTCACAGCCTGAGTAGGGCAGAGCCAGGTTCAGACCCACGTGGGTCAAAACTGAGGTCAGACCTTCGAACCACTATGCCGTCTCCATAACGCACTATAATCCATGGCATTCTTGTCGTGCCATCGCGTCTGAGAAGTCGTCCGTGGAAAGATGCACCATTGTTTCATGGCCCATTAAGACAGGTAAAAACTCCTGACAATTAAACCATGACAGGCCATCCCAATTTCAAAGATGTGAAACTGTGGCCACAGGGGCTTTGGGGGGATTGATCTGAAAATACAGTATTTTAGGGAACAAAACCCATTCATTCCTGAGGACCCAAGGGAAAATCAACAGATGGATTTCTCAGTGGTGCTGAGGATTGCTCTGTAGCCACTGGGGAGCAGGAAGGAGCCCCGCCTGCCCCCCACCCCGCCCCCGTGTGACTTCAAGGTCGAGCGCAAGGATAATTCGCTAATGGATGTGCTGGGGAGCCCAGGTGAGGGAGGTAGTGAGGCTTCACGGAGGAGAGACATCTAAGACAGACATCAGAGGAGGAGCGGAGCTTAAGTGAGCTGAGAGGGGGTGGGAAGCGTGTCAGGCACAGGGAAGGGCCCACATGAAGGTCTGGAGGACAACTTCCCTTGTGGGAAATGGCATGTGGCTTGTGTGTCTGGAGCCATCGCTGGTTGGATGGATGGTGATGGTCCTCCCCGGGGCTGCTGGAGCTGAGGGTTCATCCTGCAGGACACGGAGCCCGTGAAGCCAGCGACAGCGGAATGACCACACCACCTTTGTACGTTAGAAGGATGGAGTGAGGAGCCATGGGAAGCCTGAAGGCAGCGGGGAGGCCTGAGAACGGCTGGGACGTGCTGTCAGGCCACTCTTGGGCGGGACGGTACCAACGGGCTGACTCACACGCTTGCTCTGGGGGCTCCCTTGGCATGACTGGGCCCACTGGTTAGGGGCCCGGGGAGCAGGCAGGACAGGAGGCAGCCTTCCCCCAGGCCTGGGAATGTCCGGGCTGGCTGAGAGCCCGCCAGAGGCCGGTGAAAGGCCTACTTACCATGACAGATGGGGGCCCCGTCGGCCACGCCAATTAGGCAAGATGGAGTGCCAGGGCCGCGCTATAAATATCTTGGCCACTGA